GTCAACGAAGCGGGATGGGTGGGGGTGGCACGCGATCGGCCACTGCAGGTCTCCAGTCTTGCGATTGCAGGATGAACATGAAATTCAGCAGATCAATTCACTCCTCGTTACGATCCCGTTATTGTCAATGTGATCTTCTGGAAGTGTGGTTTGTTTGTGTTTATCGTCCGCAGCACATGCAAGTAGAACTCATGACATGCGGTTGTCAGTTCCTCTTGCGTTCCGCTCTTTCTTTTGGTCCTTCCTTGTTCTTCTGATTCTTCTCATTCTCTGGTCTTGATATCTTTGTGGGGGCGTTTCTTTCGAGCTTTGAGGCCCTGAAGATCTTCGTGCCGATGGATGCGGGCCGGTACGCCGATGTGCTTATCAACATCGCAGCAGCTGTCCTGATATTTTTCCTGCCGGGAGGCCACACGCTGTCTCTCTTTGTGACCCTGATTCTGTCACACTCGCTCCCCGGCCGGATATACAGCAGCTGACAGCATAATATATACATACATATATATATATATGTATATACACACGTACATGTGTATTTATCAACTCGGACCAGTCGGAAGGAACGGACTGGGATGACGATTCGTTGTAGCCATCTGAGGTTCATCCTTTGCTTCGATCACTTCCGCGTGCTGCGATGTGTGCCGTCCTTTTGCTTTTGCAGCCACTTTTCGAAATTTGGTGATGCTGCGAGATCTGAGTGCGCAAACGCTTTGTAAACACTTGCGAGTTATTGTCCATTAACAATGCCATGCTGACAATCATCTAGACAGCTCGCACGGCTTTTGACTCAGAGGCTCCGTGACAGACGAATACGCACAGATGCTGTCAATCATCCCGTGTTCCTTGATTCTGGTGGCTCCTCGGCAGAATTTGACGGCTTCACGTCTTTTTGCTTTGAGTCAGATCAGATGACAAATGGGTGTGGGGTTTTAGTGTAAGTTTCCATTTAGCAAGGTGCCAGTGTTGTACATGTTTTTGAGCCACACTCAAATATCCTCAGCGGCGTTCCTGTTGGATTGGCTGGTCGAAGCTCGCAATTGACACGTGTTTCGCGTAGCCAGGCACTGGCCTTCAAGTTCAACTGCGACTTCTCGGAGAGCTTCTGCTTCAAGGCAGATCCAGGGGTTGCTGCCTGCAATAGGTACCAAAATGGCTTGCCCTGGTAAGTGGACACATGGACTAAATCCTGCGATTCATATCTTGGTGGTTTAATTTCGACCCATACCCAGTTCCGAAGTTGCCTCAAGCTTCGATGAACCTGTGCCGATTTCTTGAACCGCAGAAGTGGTTCCCAAAATTCAGGTCGTGGTTGTTGCGATGGCCTGAGGGAGAAAAATACCAGCCATTTTAGGAGTTCTCATTTTGCCGCAAATTTGTGGGTCCGCGGGGACATGTCTGAAAATGGGGGGCCCCTTTGAAAAGTTTAAAGTTGTCCAACGAAGCATAGGAAATGGTACTGGAAGTCTCCAATATCCCTGCTAATCAATTTGTACGTTTGGAGTTTGGGGCTTGGGGTTCTTCATCATCATGCCGGTGTTTGCTCGGATTCCATTCATAGGGTCTGTGTTGGTCAGCTTGGAAATAGATGGCTCTGGTTAGATTTTGGTGCCAATGATTTACCAGTGCCATCCTTTTTCTAAAGGAGACCTGGGTCAGCATTGATGGTTGCCTTCTGCAAGTTTGGGGAGGACGAGAAGTTTCGTGGGATTGTCAAACTCAGAAGCTCGAGTCATGTCTTTTAGACTGGCATTGAGGGGGTGACTTTGGTCAAAGAATGGGGCCAGTATGAATTGATCATAGTTGATCAATTGATCAAACATTTTTACTGGTGTTTCAAAGTAGCATATGGAAAATAACCCGGACACTTGTTTATTATTAATGTTACAAATTGATCAGTTTGTTCACGGGGAATTCCAGACAGTGCTTTGTTTATGGGCTCGTAGGATTCTTCGCTGGGCGTGGTGATGCTACTGGCCTTCTTCCTGCATGCATCTGCCCATTGGTGCCTTGGCTATCCTATGGTCCTATGGTATTCCTGGGTTGGTGGTTTGGATTGGATGTTTGAGGATTTGAGCCTTTGGTTCTTGTAGCGGCATGGGAAGCCACATCCTGATCCAAACCACAAAGTATGGGGAAGCTGATATGGGAAGGCCCCGAAGGGACCGGAAGAGATTTGCCCAAGGGGGCCCGTTCCCAAAGCAAAACTGGACCCAAGGGATTTCCATTCAAACCACTTCCAACAAGGAAACCCGGAAAGAACCACCCTTCTCTGCTCTCTGAAACCCCGTTTCAACGAGGAGACTCCAACATCGGAGTCCCGGTTGAGGTCTGTTTTTTGACCCAGAAGGTGCAGAAATTTTGGGTGTGATTTTTGATGGTACCGCTTTGTTGGGGTGGTTGAAAGAGACACCAAAGGGAGAACCGTTATTCTGGGGTACCCCTATTTTGACACGCACACAAGTTGATATTACATTGGCGCGCCGGTCACAACCCAAGCCTTTTTGCGTTCCGGGCGGCCGGACTTTGTTTACAACAGACCAGGTGGCAGCAGAGGAGATGCAGAGTATAGATGGTATCACGAATTCAATTTGTTATACAAGAGTACGCGACAAGTTGCTGACTATGAACGAGAAAACTGGAGAAATTGTTTTCCCCCCATTTTCAAAGAGCACCCCAGCCATTCAGAAGGGTCTCTTTGACGAAAGAGAGACGCTGATGTCCGTTGGCTGCCATTTGCAAACGCCAAAATGGTTTGGTTGGCGGCTGCCAACATTAACCGCGCAAGATGGTCTGGTTGGGAAAGTCAACAGAGGCTAGGTCCAACACACGTTACACAGTCTGCAGAATTCCAGGCGTAGCTTGTTGGGCCCTCTGCAAACCCGGATTTGCTCAGGTGGGCGCTGAAGCGACTTGGCCAGACAGTGCCTTTCTTCAGGGGAAGAGAACAAAAAACGGAGCTGTTTGCTTCGGAGCATGAGCGACTCACACACCTACTTGCTCACCAGAGTGACTCCAAGGCTCTGAATCGGCCCCGGCCCGTCTGGGTTGAAAAGTTTCGGTCTGGCTCCAAAAAGGTTGCATCATGATATGTCCTCGTCCGTGAGGCTCCTCAAATATCAACACAATCGCTTGCTTTGCTCATGAGACACCTGGGTTGCTCTAAGGGTCGGAAACCAATCTACCTGGACCCTCAAACTGCCCCAACAAATAGGATGTCACCCCATTTTGAGGCAATCGCCTATTTTTATTGGTATTTGTGAGGGTCCAGGCCTGGGAACGTCCACGTCCAAAATTTGATGAGTGCGCCATCGCGTTTACGGAGTTCGAATCCTGCGAGCGAGGTTCATCGTCCCGAAGTTTGGAGACGTGAAAGAGCACGAGCCCACAAAGCTACACTACGAAGAGGCGGCCTCGCAGCGCGAATCGCACCCATCTGAATAGAAGGTTAGAAGATTTGGAGACGATCCCAACCGGTGCAGACTTAGCCGTTGAGAGGTCTTTGCATCTAGAAACCGTTTTGGATGCGCCTTTTGTGGATTTCACCAGTTCTTCCCCCTGTTGGTCCTTTTTTTAGTACTCTTTTAATTAGTACTCTTTTAACCTTCTACAGGGGTGGAACCACAAAAGCCACATCCAAACCGTTTTCTAGATGTTGGGTAGACTCTCAAGAATGGTTTGGCCGTGACTCGTGCGGATCGATTGATGGATTGCACACTCCGAAAGAGAGTCTGAGCGGTTTTTTTTCATAGGTTTCGTCTCAGCTCCGCGGGTTTTGCAGGTGGCTTCGTCAGTGGCGCCATCCTTCTTCAACCTGAACCCAGCCTTCTGCCTTCGATCAAAGTACTTCTACAAGCACGAAACTCCCTGCACACTTCTCATTCAAGGCAGAGAACATGTACTAAAAAAAAGCGTGCCGAGCTCAGTTGCTGTCTGGCCAAGTACAAAACTCCTTTGCCACTGTTTGAAAGCGGTGACTCTGGCTAAAGGGCTAAAGGGCGTCATGTGCCGGTGTCGAAACTTTCTGGTTTCGTGCTTCAGGTTTCAGCGTGGTTCCTTTTCATTTACAAGTGCCATCTTCTCTGCCATAATTTGACCCCGTCAACATTGCTTGTCTTTCGTTGAACCTACCATACCACGAAACATGCAAGCATACAGCGCCATCTACTGTCAGACGGCTGTGGGTCAAAAATAAGTACCCGAAAAGGAACCCTGGTAAATGGAACCACGGACTAAAACCTGCGGTCTCCTGGTGGTTTAGTTTTGACCCATACAGCGCCATCTAGTTTCAGATGGCTGTGGGTCAAAACCAATGGTGCCATTTTGGGGTAGGTGCACCACCCATTTTGTGGTTGTGGCATTTTGACCCATACCCATTTGAGTGTCGTCCTTTTTTTTCCCCAGGAAGCGTCGCTGTGCCACTTCGACGACCCGCGGCCAGTGGAGAAGGAGGAGTATGGCCGCTGGAGACCTGGCTGATGGAGAAAAAACCCGAGCGACGCTGGTGCCAATGGCGGGGGTCGAAGGCCGCCTGGAAGGAATGCTATATGGGGTGGCTCGTCCTTTTTTTTGGGGGGTACCAACCTTTTTTGGTAGATTTTAAAGGGGAACCCAAAGGAAAACAACCATTTTGGGAGGTCCAAATCCTGAAAAAGGACGAGCCACCCTTCTGTTGCACGCCAGAGCAGTGGCTTGCGCTGGCCTCGCGGGATACATAAAACCTTAGGAACATGTGTGAAGCTGCCGAGCGTGTGGTAAAATGATGAGCGCCCGCGTTTGCTGATCGAATGATTCTCACATCATGAATTCGAGTGTTGTCTATTGTGTGTCCGCTTTGTCACAATCTTATCCGTAGCCAAAAGCGACACATACTCTCCCACCAACTAACATGGAAGTGGGTCTTGTGGGAGGGCAGGCGAAGGATAGTGGGGTGAAGGGGTGAAACGGAAGCGGCCGCACCTCGAAGTGTCGGGCCCTTGGGACGCCCAGTCGAGTCTGGCCAGGTCCGACAAAAGCTGGATGCTGAAGTAGCGGCTCGGCTTCGACATGCTTCGACTCGCTATGGAAGCCAGGAGGGTTTGGGGAAGCTGCTTGGAAAGGGGCGACGATGGTCCCAAGTTCAGTAGAGACACAGGTGTGTCTTTTGTTGGACTCCAAAATGGCGAGAGAGGTTGCAACCCTTCCAAGCGCCCCTTCTCAGCCGGGGATGTCCGCCGGGACATTGCTGCTGCAATTTTCAGCAAGCTGATAGAGCTTCCCCTACCTAAAGACTTAATCTGAAAAGCTTGTGGTTCCAAAGAGCCTCGTTTTGTTTTTGGGGTGTGACATCTGTTTGGAGGTTTTTGGGTCTCCTGGTAGGGGCAAACCAACCACCGATTTCAGGGGTCCCAATAGGAGAACCGCTGAATGACCTCAGGCAGAAGTGGACCTCGCCGCGACCGAGATTGAACGTCGGCCCGGCTTGTGACTGGGCAGTCCAAAACCCCGCGGATTCGCCCGACGAAGCAAAACGGAACCCAATCCCCAAAAGCTGAATCCCCCCCCAAAAAAATGCCCGTTCTGCGCTTCCATGCTAATCTGCAGGGGATCAAGTCTTCAAGGCAAGGGGATAGTGCCATAAAACGAGTGAGTTGCTTACATGGGCCTGGGTAGACAACACAAAATACCATGCTGCTTCCGAGCTGATTTTTCCAATGTGGGTTACGGTCAACGCAGTTGTGTGGTGAAAGGCACCGTCGGCAACTCATTCACGAAGAATTCTGCCGTCGTGAGGGACACTGTGGATACAAGGCGGTCAAAAAAAAACGGCCTCCTTCAACAAATGACGACAACTGCCAGGGTTCAAATGCGATTTTGCATTTGCGGCCTTGACGGCTTGGAAGATCCCCTGTTTTCTGACAGACATGTCAGATGTGCGTGCCACTGTCTGGTGGAGAAGCTGTTGCCTGTGCCCACAAAAGGCAGCTTTGGTTCTTGAGGCGCGCAAGCCCTCTCCAACAGCATGCCACAAAGAAAACAACGCACGACAGTCACGGCCGTTTGCCGGAAAAAAAATGAAACAGATTTCAGTCCTTTAGTCAAACAAACGGTGCTTCACCGCAAAAGTGTCGCCGTTTGGTCGTAGATTGTCGTCGTTTTGTCGAGGAAAGTCACCGTTTTGCCTGCATGGATTTGTCCGGGCAGAAACAGGTTGAATCCGTTTGACACAACTCCCACCCGCAAGAGACCAAGCCTGCAGGTCTCACAAACCGAACGCTCTCCCTCAAGCCACACACACACAAACCGCACATATTCGCCGGGGTGCCTATCCGCGGCATAGGCAACACGGATGTTGATCGACCCTTGGGAAGACTTTTTATCAAAGCTGCCTATCTCCCTATCTCCCCCAGGACATGTTTTGACTACCTCACATATATCTCTAAAGATTGAATTGAACACTGGCACCCCCACGTGAATCAAGCAAGGTTTTAGGTCACTTTGGTTGAAGCATAGATTGGTGGCTCGTCTTCCTTTGAGCGTGCCCCACGTGTGGTTTTAAAGGGAAGCCACAAGTTGAAAACCCGGCCCTTTTAGGGGTCCGAATCATGAAAAAGGAACGCCCAGATCAGATCCTTGGCGTTCCGGAAAAAAGAAGCTAGCGCCAACCAGTCAAGCGCACAAATCCGCTTTCAAATTTGGGAGGGTACCCCAGAAGAGATTGGCCGCATCTGAGTCTACTGGTTCCAGTGAGACCCTCAAGAAGAGGGTCAGCGCGAGCGAGGAAAGCGTCAGCGCGAGACGCAACTTGGTCACACCCGAATGCAGAATCTTTGGCCAACTTTTGGACGGCAGGCTTGCTGTGCAGCATACTTTCAGTCTGGCGCGAGCTTCAGTATGAGTTGGAATGGGGTTGGAATGGGTCACACACCTCTCCAGAAATTGATTCCCCATTCTTGTCAACCATCCTTCTTTTCAACATTGGCTGTTTTTCCCCTGGGTTTTTGATTTCCTGAAAAGAGTCAGAAGGATCCCAGGATTCAGAATGGAATTGGAGGGCAATTCTAGAGCCTCCCTAAAGTCTCGCGTCGCCAGGCTCGCGGCAGGAGGCGAAGGTGCGGATCGAGGAAATGCAGACGGCGCTGGAGGCGAGTCAGAGTCCGAGCGAGCCGTCGGACTCGGCTGGGGAACCCGGGGGCCTTTTTTGAGTGGCTCCGTCTTCTTGGATTTGGACCCCCCAAAATGGCTGTGGTTGTCAAAACCGTTTTGGGATCCCCTTTTGGTTGGTGGGTGAATTCACCACCCATTTTGGAACCTATTTTAGTGGTTGGATTGGTTGATGTTCACTGGGGGTACGATTTGGATTTTGACACATGGCCAAATGGCTGGTTGTCCTTTTGGTTTCCTTGTAACACCACAAGGAGAAAGGGTACTAACTCCAAAAAGAGGCATACCCTTATGTGGAATTGGTAAAGTTTTGGTTTTCGGTGACTTTGGACAATCCAAGGCCGTCATACCTATTGCAATCTTTTGTGCAGGATTCACTGTCCTGTGCCCCTGGAAGCCAACGGGGCACTCTGCGAGCGCCCTCTCTCTTTCAAGTGCCTCAGAAAATGTTCAGCGTCGGCCGCGCCAGTCGCCAGGGCATGTTGCGCAAAAGGATCGCGTCATGTGTGATGGTGGAGATGGCATAGACCCAGTTGCCCAGTGGCGCCCTTTTCTCCTTTTTTAGGGGAAGGGTTCCTCTTTAAACTCAGCCAACCAAGAAGGGCAAACTCAGCCAACCAAAAAGGATGCCGTTTTTTTTTTCCCATGGCCACTCAACCTCTTCTTGAACGCGCGAGGGTTCGAGTGTGCCACATGCCCAAAGCGTCTGTTAGTGAACCGGATCAGGCGCTTTCGGTCAGGTTCAAGCCGTTCAGATCGCCCTGGTAGAAGCCAACGCCGATGCGATATGGTTGGGTGGTGGGGTTCCATGCATGAAGATCCTGACATGGCCGCGGATGGATTCCTTTGATACCAGGTTTTCGTTTGGACTTGTACTTGGGTGAGTTCACTCTAGAGCATCATATCTCAAGGAATTCTCAATGTAGCCCTGATTTGAAAGAACAAAGCACGCACGAAACGCGCCAGTGCCTGATCAGTACACATTCTGCCAACATGCCAGTGGCAAATCATTTGATCGCATTCTTGTTTTCAAGGTGGGAAGGGATTACGACAGTTGTTGATTCAGGGATCTTGTCGAGGGAAGGGCATCATGCCACTACCTGCTCATGCAAGGTATTCCCATTTGAAAGGGAGACCAACAGAGCAAACCATTGGTAGTGCGTCGCACTCGAAGTTCCCTCAACGCAAATGAGCCAATAGCTGCACATGTGCCACTGGAGTTTAGTGTGGCAGGACAGTCTTAAGCATACATGCGGCCTTCAATTAAATACTCAGTTGTTCAGTGGCACCCTTTTTCCCCCTTTTTTTTGGTGGCTGCCCCACCAAAAATGGTCTTCCCCAAAAGGGTTCCCTTTTTTTCCAGGGCCACTGAACAACTGAGTGGTTTTTGGGGCACCTTACTCCCATGTTTTTTCTTGGCACATGTCGCACCAGGCGATCAGCTTGAAGAAGTCAACTCGAGCCGAGGCAGGGGCGGGAGGTGTCCTGAAAAAACTTAGGGAGGCTCGTGCTGTTTTAAGGTTGGTCCCCCCAAAACGGGAGTTTGGGGTTTCCCTTTAAAGCCACCAACGCGGTGCCCTCAAAGAAGACAGGCTCATATGGGCCCTCGTGGTGGTTGATCATAGGTGCCCTTGCAGGGGTCAGTCTGAGGGATTCTGCTGGTCTCAATGTGGTTTTCATCATTCACCAGCGCAATCTGGTTTTCCAAAAAGAACGCCTACAAGGAATGCCCAATGTCGGAGTTCCTGTTGGTCTCCCTTTCAAACAGCAAAAAAGGGGCCATCCTGGTATAACGTCTAGAGGAAAACGATGGACAACGACCAAGGGCAGTTGTTTGAGCCATTTTGGATTGCAGTCAGGGCTGGCCGTCGAGAAAAGTCGGACTTCGCGGGCATGAATCGCGCTGCTTCTGAGCGGCCCAACTCAGTTGCCCAGTGGCACAGTGGTGCCCATTTTCCCTTTTTTGGGAAGGGGTCCCCTTTAAAGTCAACCAACAACAACAAAATGCCCTTTCCTTCCCTTGGTTACTGGGCATTTGAGCCCAAAAGATATCGAAGAATCAGGAACCTCTTTTTGGACGGTGTGAAACTGAAAGGAAGCCAACTGTTTCAAAGGAGCCTACTGTGGATGGACAAAATCCTGCACCAGTTGGTAGGTGGTTTATTCCAACATCTATAGCGGCGTCACCCATCCAACTGGCAGGATTTTTTCCACCGCATTTTTGCGTCCACCGCATTTTGCGTGTTTGTTGGTAGGTGGTTTGTTCCATCCAACTGGCACAGGATTTTGTCCATCCACAGAATAGTTGCGTGTTTTTCTCTTGACGCGGCCGAAGCAAAAAAAGACCTCAGGCCGTGACCTCCCGGCTGCAGCGGGTGACAGTTCTGGAACAGGACGCGGGCGCTGAATGGGTGGCTCGCCCTTTTTGCGGGATTTAGACCCCCCAAAACGACGAAACGGGTGTTCCACTTGTGCTTTCCCCATAAAAACAATCAACAATTGTTGTCAGGAGAACTGAACGGAAGCATTTCTGTTGGTTGATCGTACAATGAGTATTCGCTCCGAGGAGCTGATGACTGCGAAGCAGGAGCTGCAAAGCCGGATACTCAGCTTAGCTTATTCCATCAATCCTCCCCCCCACAAAAAAACACAAAAAACCAGGCGGTATCTAACCCACTACATGGGCTCCGGTTTCGCTTCGGATTCCAAAAAGGATCCCAACTGAAGAAGACTTGTTGCCCACAGAAAATCAAGCAAACTCCAACACAGAGACCTTTGCCCCACCCAAAAAAGTGTAGCAGCTCCAACAAACAAGTCACAGTGAAGTCTTGAGGAATGGAATGTTGGGCAGTCTTGCCAT